AAGAAGGTCTGCAAATTCAGGCGTGAATGGCTGGAAAACTGCTCTGGGATAAATGACCCAACCTTTGGGTACAAGGATGGCAAACCCTGCATACTTGTCAAGCTTAACAGAATTATTGGCTTCAAACCTAAGGCAAGTATTTCTTCCTTTCCTAATAGAAACTACTGATAAGGAGACAGAGTTGGCCGCAGACTTGCTGTGGCTCTGGAAAAGCCATTCGGTTACCACCTGCTTTTCTGTTCTAGAGAAAGATTAGTATTAAACACATTGTGCAGAAGAGAAACTTCGATAGGGTTTGAATGAATGGCTTTGCAAAGACTTTTCATTAAAGAGCTATGGAAACTGCTTGCTGCTAGTTGTTAACAGCAGCGAGCTCTCACCGTGCCCGGCTAGTGCTCCGGTTACCTTGCTGACCTGGCTTACTGAATGGTTTAAGAAGGCATTTCTCTAAATTCTCTATCTATAGATACAGTGTATGCTACTGTGTGACGTAGGAGGCCTGCTGTGTTTGTACTGAGATAAGTAAATTCTACCCTGCTTCGGTCATTCCTTAGGCAGCACAGTTGCCTGCCTTGCTGAAAGCACTTAATTAAATGAGGTGGTGCTATATTAAGTGGTACTGGACTCATACATAGTCTGTAAAGCATAGACTGGCGAGCAGCTGAGAGTCCAGTGCACATCTTACTGAAAGAAAGGTGAAGAGATGATAGATGATGTAAGGTGGTGCTGGCTGTTGCCCCTGTGCTCTGCGCTGCCCCTATTGCTTTTACTTTTTTTTTTCCCCAACACATTTAAATACTGAAAATTTCTCTCAGAATTGAGTGGCAGAGTACATGCTATTGAATAGGGGCTTGTGCAAACCACCCCATTCCATCTTCTGGATGGAAAATGATGCAAGTGGTGATTCATCCCTTACCCCCATCCCATCCGTGTAGCTGGGAGGAAGAGGAAACAAACTATCCAGACAGCACATGTCGAGCAACGTTTTTCTTCAAAGGGAGGTTTCCCTGTGCTAGAGAAATCACCTGAGTTGTCTCGCTGGGGGCCAGTAATCGTTGCTGCATTTGGGAAGCGCTCTGCTGCGGTCGGCGCGTGGCAGCTGTGGGATGGCAGCTGGAAGGTGTGGGCAGTGCTGGGTGGTGTCTGCCTGCCCTGCCCCAGAGCTGCAGACCAGCTGAGGCGGCGGGTGCAGGCAGAGTGTCCCAGCCACGAGTGACCCTGTGCCACATACTCTYGGTGACCCTGCGGGCGCAGGGGGCTGGACTGGATGACCTTCAGAGGTCCCTTCCAACCTTAGGGTTTCTATGGTTCTGTGTGTGCGTCAGTGCTCCTGGAGACCCCCCACAGCCGCTGCATTATGCGAGGTGCAGAGCAGCCCCCAAGACTGGCTAGGGCGTGATGCCCAATGATGGAGACTTTTCCCTGGCTTTCCAGCAAGGCGCTGGGAGGGAGGCCGGGCACCGGTGCGGGGTTCTGCTGCTGCCCGCCGGGAGGCAGCACCAACGTTCCCGTGTGTTTTGGCTCTCTCGTAGGCTCCAGCAAACGAGAGCCTCCCCCCAGAGGTCGCGGCGAAATTCAACCCCTACCTCATCCCTGTGCACTGCAGCCCCAAGGTAAGTGAGGGGCTGAATCTGTACCCAGGGTTAGTTACCACAAGCCTCTGGGAATGAACCGTGTTTCAAAGCCTGAGGGGGAAATGCAGAAACGTTTTCCTATATGTTCAAAGCAGACAGTTACGGAGGGGAACCAATTTAAATCCGTCCCTATTGATACTAAGTTGTTCACGAGGCGGTACCTGTGAGCAGATGCAGACATTGTGGGTGGGTGGGTGTGTGACAGCTGGGAGCAGCCCGGAGCTGCTGTTCTACTTGGTTCTCCCTGCCCAGCAGGCGGATTGGGAGGGGACATGGGTGTGCGAGAGCATCCAGCCTTTGCCTTTCCACAGCCCGCCAGGTGCCCTCGGTGCAGGGAGGGGTGACAGGCCAGGCCCCCGAAGCCCCTGGGAGACGACAGCCAGAGCTGCCCTCACAGAGAGGGGCATGGGGGGGGTGAATGGGCAGCCCCTCGGAGCGGCTGCCTTGGGCTGAGATGCACAAGCAGAGGCGGGCGGCTGGGGTTGGTTTCTGTTCAGAGATGGCACTGACACAGCGGGAAGCCACGGTGGCTCCTGGGCAGGTGGAGAARTGTCTGGCTTTGAGCAGAATGAGCCCCCCCATCTTCCTGCATGAGACACGCCGGGTGCTAGGAGGGAGTCCTGTCCCCCAGGCCCTTGTGAGGACCCAAAGGGCATGCCCAAAGAGGGGCCTGTCCCCACAGGCATGGGTGGCACTAGGGAGAGTCCGGCAGAAGGAGAGGCTGGGTGCTTTAGCATTGGCCACATCTCCCTTGCTCTGCAGAGAGAAGARGACATGGACAACGTGGGCGCTGTGGAGTACTACGGCATGGGCGGCTACGCCGGCTTCGCCCTGCAGTACTACCCCTACTACGGGAAGCTGCTGCAGCCGCGCTACCTGCAGCCGCTCGTGGCCGTGCAGTTCACCAACCTGACC